CTGGAGTGGACGGAGGGAGGGGGGAGCTCCTTCGCTCCTGGAGTCACAATAGACTGCAGCTAATAAATCTGAGGAACAATGACACCTTAATTCCCTCTTAATGCTTGATTGGGAAGACGCGATGCAAACACACGCCAACACACGCTCGTGGCAGCACGCACGCGAGCGCAGGCAGAGATTGTTACAGAGGAGATAGAGAGGAGGGAGGGCGGGGCAGAATGTTGTCCTTGAGCAATTCACGTGAAAATGCAGACGCGAGCTGCACAGGTGCAGAGAGGCTCCACACAGAGCTTTTTAGCTAATTGTTTTGGTAGTACCACGTTCAGCCTTACTACTCGCCAACCACTGGGGGTGTGGCTAAAACGCTGGCTCACCTAAAGCATCTTCAGGCAGGAAATCTGTTCAGAATTTTTAAGGAAGCCCGAATAATTGTTGAAGTCTGCTGTTGGTCTCTGCTGTACTAACATGAAATGCCCCTCTGAGCCTCTCTCCAGTAAAATGGACTCAGATGAATCTGAGTATGAGAAGTGCTGTTTCTCTGTGCTCTGGGTTTAATCTTTAGTCCTTAAAGCTTTCTTTGAGTCTTTGAATTAAATATTGATACTGACGATCCATTAACTGTGCGGACGATGTATGACGCTTTTAAATGCACTCAGAATTTCAAACTGTTTGAAATACAGTTTAAAAAAAATTAAACAGTGGAGGAATTAGTTATTAATCACCTCTGACTCTCTCCCACACCGTGTCTTGGTGTGTCTTCCTCCTCTCAACCCCGAGTACGTGTGCTTATTTAAATTTGTGATTAAAGAAAGAAATAAGTTACAGCAGATTAGCGATGCTACCCTCCTTAAAAAGAAACAAGTTTTTGGGTTCTAGGTCTTTGTAGTTTTATATTTGGGGTTATGTTGGGATTAGGGTTCTATGCTGTGGGTTATATTCCCACTATTTCTTTTGTGTTATGTGTTGTGTTTACTTCCTGATAAAGATGCTTGACATAAGTGTCTTATGGTGCTTTCAGTTGTCAGCTTCAGTTATTCCATATTTAAAAAATATTTAACAGTGACAATGAGACGGAGATGGGACAAACGAAAGTCTCCCAAAAGCTAAGACAAGGAAATGTAACGGAGTGTTTGTAGCGCTCGGCTTCACTCTGACTTTGTATATTTGAGAAGGGCTGAATTTGAGTTTTGGGGATCTGTACTTGAATTTATTGATTGATTTTGTTTAATTTTATTTTTCAGAATAAAAGTTGGTTCAAGTTGGTCAAAAAAATGTTTTACAGTTTAAATAAGGATTTATTTTATTTGAGACAAATGAATGCACTTTAAAATGTAGTAGTAGTTTAGAGAGTTGCAGTACTACTGCATGTACTATGTTTTAGGTTAATCTATATTTCTTTCTTTTTTTTTCTTTAAAAAAGGACATCTTTAAAAGATGGACTTATAATAACAATTTTATAGACAAATTATATTATTTATGGTTGCGGGGCGAGTTGGGGGGCGTGAAATGTTTTCTTCTTCCTAAGGGGGGCGTAACAGGAAATATTTGAGAAGCACGGAGTTATGGAGGTCCTTGCATTCCTCTGTGTTCTCAGTCTGTTCCTCTAGCCTTGTCTCTGTATCGTGGCTCTCTTCCTGTTTTATTTCGGTGACTGCTGTTCTCTGTGTGTTGTCTTTACCTCACCTGTGCCCTCGCTGTCTGAGATCAGTGTGTTGTCCCTCCTGAGTGTGAGTTTTCCCTGATCCTCCTTGTTCTGGGTTTCCTGCTCTACAAATGCTCATTTTTAAGTTCATCACTGTTTCCTGAATCCTCCACTCTCTGCCTGCCAGCACAGCCAGTTTATAACAGCAAGTTATGTTGATTCTGGTGTAAATTTTTTCTGCTCTCTTTCATCAATAGTTCACTTTAAAAAAGACTCTAACTTCAGTTTACTGAAATATGATTCTATCAGTATTTGATGTCCACACTGCAGCTGAACCACTTTTTTTTATCTACAGTGATTCGGGAAAGATCCTGGAAACAGCTGATATGTATTCATGTACCAAAGCTGTGGATTATCATCACTTCATTGTCTTTGTGTGTGTGTGTATGAGGAAGAGTGCGTGTGTGTGTGTGTGTGGGTGTGTGTGTGGGTGTGTGCAGAGTTGTGTCAAGGCTTTTCGTCTGGAGGAGGATCATTCATCTCCTGAGTGTCGACAGCAGATGTCAACCTCTGTGTGAGTGATGCCTCTGAATGGAAACTAATCAGCCTGCTACACACACACACACACACACCCACACAGAAATGGACCTGTCACGTTTGTGTTTTTGTTGAATTATGTGTCCCTCAGATTGTGACTCACGGTCTTTGTGTTGCTTCGGTGAGAACAGCAGTAAAGGGCAGCTGGATTCTGATATACTGTCTGACATAGAAGTAAAAGTACGTAAATGATTATTCAGTTATTATACGGAGGAATTTGTTTGTCATTCTGATCGTTCTTCTTTATCATTTAGACCCAAAATACAAATGCTGAATTGTGATTCCTCCACCCTCAGCTCCACGATGCCCCATCAATGCGCCCCCTCACACCTCACATACTCTTCAACCTCTAATGTTTCTGTTTAATCTAAGTTATCATTATTATTATTATAGCTATGTATGCTTTTCTATTTTAGGCTGCTGGCTCATGCAGATAATACAGATTTATATTTTTATATTTGGTGTTTTTTCTGGAGTGTAAGGATCGTGGGCTCGCTGTGTGGACCGGACAGATGGTTTTCAGCCACGCTTGGAGGACCTGGAGGGAGAAACGGAGCGTGGCAGCCGCCCCCGTCCTCCATTGTCTCCAGCAGCTCCTCTGTGGTTTCTCTTCTTCGGGATTTCGTTGTATTTGATTTTTTGGCTTCGTGATTTCGTGTTTCTCTCGCTGCCTGCTCAGTGCTGTCACTGTCTGTGTCTGTTTATTTTGTTTGATGCTCGATGACTGAAAAGCACTTTGGGTCACCTCCTCATGTTTTCATGTGCGCTGTAAAAACGTTACCTGACGTCTTGTCCACGTGCACGATCGGCGTTGTGTCGATTCAACGTTCTCTTCCTGTTTATCTTTTCCTATTTAGTATTTCCCTCTTTATATTTTTGCACATGATGCTTTTTAATTTCACAGTTTTCTGGTTATGAAACCAGACGAAATATTTAAATCCAACCCCCCCGTCATTTCAAACTAGCTCTGCTGCCTACAGTGTTTTCCCTTCACTGAGGGCTTCATGACACCAGGAAAACAAACTTTCAGTCCACTTATTTCCATATTTCACAGAATATAATAAAAGTGAAGACCTGTCTCTGACTCATGCAAGATTTCTGCACATTTCTCCTGTTTACATGATTTTAGAATATCTCTCTCAGTAAATTGTGAGATATCACCCCCTCCTTCCTGAACCAGAGACAAACAGAAAGAAGGAGGAGGAACCAGACAAAGAAACCGAGGAAGGCTGACGCGTAGCGAGGAGGAGTGAGAAACCATAAAATTCAACCTGAAGCTTGAGGCAGGTTTGGTCCTCAAAACTGAAAATATCCAAGTCAACTTCATCACATTTCCTATGCACACAGCATTACAGCAGTTTGATGTTAAGGTAGCTCAGAGAAGCACATTTTACCTGCAGCTGGTAACCGAAATCATTAGCGGTGCTCCCGCTGAGCTAAGCTCGGTATTTCACCGAGCAACGGAGAGAGAGTATCAGAATGCAACTGTTTGGCGTAACGTCTCAGGAAAGCTGGGATAGCGATCAGTTAACCTCCTGCTGATTAAATACAATTATTTGCTTTTCCAAAAGCTTTGAGTTGGAACCGAGAAGATCACCTGAATATGTAAAAAAAATCTATCAGTGCATGAACAGAAAATGGATTCTGAAGCAACAGGAGGAGAATAAAAAGATCTTATAATATCAGCATCACAGCCCAGCTCTGAGATGGTTTTATCCCATTGTTCTCATGGAAACTGAAATGTTTAAGTAATCGTTGATATTGATGAATAGTTCTCTCTGTGTTAGCCCTGCCATCGACCCTGAATTAGATAAGTGGAAGAAAAAAGATTCTGTATTTGTTTGGGTTGTTCTGGCTGTGCAGAGCAAAGGATCATGGGTATGCAGCCTATGAAGATGTCCCATCGCATTAGTGGATCGCTGATTCTGTCCGGGGAACCTGAGTGGCTCAGACGAGTTCAATTCAATTTTATTTATACAGCACCAAATCACAACAACAGTCGCCTCAAAGCGCTTTGTATTGTAAGGCAGACCCTACAATAATGCATACAGAGAAAAACCCCACAATCATATGACCCCCTATGAGCAAGCACTTTGGCAACAGAGGAAAGGAAAAACTCCCTTTTAACAGGAAGAAAACTCAGAAGAATCCCCCCGCAGCCTACGCCTATGCAGCATAACTAAGGGAGGATTCAGGGTCACCTGATCCAGTCCTAACTATATGCTTTAGCAAAAAGAAAAGTCTTAAAAGTAGAGATAGTGTCTGTCTCCTTAATCCAAACTGGAAGCTGGTTCCACAGAACAGGGGCCTGAAAACTGAAGGCTCTCCCTCCTCTTCTACTTTTAAATACTCTAGGAACAACAAGTAAGCCTGCAGTGTGAGAGTGAAGAGCTCTAATGGGGTACTATAAGGTCATTAAGATAAGATGGCTTCACGCCACTACAGAGATGCTGTATGTATGCGGTCCTTTCTGGCTGCACCGTAGCTCCGCTAACGAACCAACCGCAGCACAAACGAGCATATTCCTGGCTACTCCATGTGTTTCTCACTCCACCTGTAACATGAAGAACTGTGCATAAAGCCAAGCCACATCATTTTTATGAACCCAACCAAGGAATGAATATGAGAGAAAACAGCATCTAAAAGTGAAGATGAAGACTAGGGGCAGGTCTCCAGGTTCAGACCTCTTTATACTAACCTTCCTCCTACAACAAGCAGTAAAAAAGTTTGGTGAACATCATTCTGCATCAGTTTCTCTCACCTGTGTTGTAGTGCTTGGTGCAGTAGCGCAGGTCCTTCTCTTCTTTCAGAATGAACTGAGGTAGTGTCAGCCCGTCGGCAACCTGCACGGCCCCCTTCTTGTCCCATTCGAATATTAGGTCGTTCATGGTGTAGCCGACTGGAGGAGGGAGCAATGAGCGGGAGGTTAGACTATTTCATCACTGCAGAGGTCAGTTCTCATCCTCTGAGGAGGAACTGGACCTCTCTGTATCTGGCAGGGGTGCAAAGTCACACCCTGCAGTTTTAGTGGATAAAAGGCCAGTTCAGCACAACAATCACAATCTGTATTGGCAATAAAATCCACTGAAGTAGTGTGGGAGAAAGCCTGAGCTCAGTGTTTGGGAAACTTTAAAGGCTTCTGTGTTTTCAACTAAAGAAGCAAAAGAATGGAAGGAAGAAAGAAAATAGGACGTAAGGAAGAGAAGGCGAAGAAAGGAAAGAGGACAGAGGGAACACAAAAAGGAAGAAAATCAAGCAAAAAAGACCAAAGCAGCACTCTGGGAGGCTGTGGAGTTTAAATGATGGTACTGAAAATCCCACCAGTAGCAGCCTGAACATGGACACAGGCAGGATGGATCCATGCTTTAAACTTGTCAGACCAGGAAACATTTCTCTAGTTTCTGTTGTCCGGGTTTGAGAGTCTGTGTTAGCCATAGACTCAGTTTCCTCTTCTTACTGACAGCAGTGACACTGGTGTGGTCGTCTGCTGCTGGAGCCCATCTGCTTCAAGGTTCAGAGATGGTCTTCTGCAGACTTTGGTTGTAGCGAGTGGTTATTGGAGTTATTGCTGCCTTCCTATCTAAGCAGTCTGTCCATCTTCCTCTGACCTTAGCGAGTCATTTCCTCCCACAGAGCTGCTGCTGGCTTGTTATTTCCTCTGAGCTCAGAGATGGTTGGAGATCAGTGTGTGAAACACTCAGACCAACAACCATGCCACATTCTTTCTTCATCATTCTGATGCTCAGTCTGAACTTCAGCAGCTCGTCTTCACCGCTGAGCTGCTGCCGTGTGATTGGCTGATTATATTAATGAACATTAATGAACAGGTGTGCCTAATAAAGTGTCTGGGGAGTGTAAATATCAGTAATATATACAGGGAATTACTTTATGCCTTAAAACTAACTGGTGGCTTAACTAGTAAATGTGTTATTTATAAACAGCGGTAAAAAGCGACTTTATGATGTTTTGGTGTCCGTTTCACAAACTCAGAGACGACTGCATTGTTCTGTCTTTGATTTACGATCACTGACCCTCTGCAGATGTACTTCACACTCGCTACTGGGATTCCTCTCACGTCTGCTCAACAATAAGACCACAAGAAAAATCTATACCATATCTCTCACTCTGCCAGCTGTTGTTACTGATCGAATGATGTGTGTGTCTGTGCGCGTGTGTGTGTGTGTGTGTGTGTGTGTGTGTGTGTGCGTGTAATTGCTCACAGCTCTCCAGCTGCATGATGCAGGTCTGGACGTCCATTGGAAAGTTCTTCAGATCCATGGGGCAGGCCAGGACCAGCGTTATTCTGCAAACACACACACACACACACACACACACACACACACACACACACACACACACACACACACACACACACACACACACACACACACACTTTTACAGTAAGAGGATTACCTCGGGTTTTATCAGATCGCCACATCGACACCTCAGAAGGTTTGAAATTTCAGACTGAAATAATCATCAGTGGAAAAACTGATTAAATGAATCATTATTAGTTTACAAAAGATAAACAACTTTGTTTATGCTAAGATAAAAGCAGCAGAAATAATAAATGAGCTCTGCAGAGACGATAGAAAATTCACTTCATTTGAGCCAAACCAATTAAAGCATCAAACACATGAAAGTGTGAATGAACTGAAAGCCAGAGCAATTAGTTCTTTAATTGATTACCAACTGCAACAAGTTTGATACGTGATCCAATCAATAAATTCATTTAGTAAGCATAAATGAGAAACGCAAGTTTTCCCTCCTGTGTGGGAACGTCATTCATTTCGACTGGAGATGAAAGTAGCTGAGCTCGTCTGAAGCTCCTTCCTCTGGATTTAACGGAGCAGCACAGCATTAAAAACAGCGTCTGATGACGGGTGCCATTTTCAGGTTTTTCATATGAAACTATTTAAACACAAACGTGTTTTTATGTCACTGACAATGAATTTTGATGACAATTGCAAATCGGTCTGCAGAAAGGGTCACTGGCGCCTTTACTGCCAAAGGAAACTTTCCACACTCCCTGAACAATTTGAACTTTGTTTTATCCTTCTTTTATTGAGTCTGCTTTATCTTTTTGTTTGGTGGCATGGTTCACTGAATAACTCACTGAATAGCCGTCTATTTAATGACTGCACCACGTTCCTCTCGTCTCCCTGAGCACACACTCTGCAGTTTACTATGACACCTTCCTGCTGCCTCAAACTGAGCTGGAGTACCGACTGTGGATTAATCCAGACTGGAAATAATCCCCAACAAACAGTCTCTCACCTTCAGTTTGAAGAATATTTAAATAAATGCGACTTGTTATGACTGAATAGGAGAGAAGAAGTTCTGGGCTCACAAAATAAAGTACACATGTACCTTTGTGGTTTGCATGTTTTGGAGACTAGTCTCAAACTTCTCCTGACAGTATGGAACTTTAATGTAAAGGTTAAATGAATGTTAATTAAAAAACTATGCTATTAGGTCCAATAATTAGCAGTAGGAGGCTGATTTGTGTAGATTGGTCATGCAGACAATACTGACAGTATTTTCAAGCCTTTCAAGTTAAATCTTTACTCAAAAAGCCATCTCTAGACCCAGCAGTCTTAGCTAATTATAAAACAGCTAACAGATCATCTGCAGAGGAATGGCTTATTTGAAGAGTTTCAGTCAGGTTTCAGAGCTCATCACAGCACAGAAACAGCTTTAGTGAAGGTTACAAATGATCTTCTTATGGCCTCTGACACTGGACTCGTCTCTGTGCTTGTCCTGCTAGACCTTAGTGCAGCATTCGATACTGTCGATACTGACCATAATATCCTATTAGAGCGATTAGAACATGCTGTAGGTATTATAGGTACTGCACTGCAGTGGTTTGTATCATATCTATCTAATAGACTCCAGTTTGTTCATGTAAATGGAGAGTCCTCTTCACACACTGAGGTTAATTATGGAGTTCCACAGGGTTCAGTGATAGGACCAATTCTGTTTACATTATACATGCTTCCCTTAGGCAGTATCATCAGAAGACATAGCATACATTTTCACTGCTATGTAGATGACACCCAGCTCTATCTGTCCATGAAGCCAGATAACACACACCAATTAGTTAAACTGCAGGAATGTCTTAAAGACATAAAGAGCTGGATGGCCGCTAACTTTCTGCTTCTTAATTCAGATAAAACTGAGGTTATTGTATTCGGCCCTGAAAATCTTAGAAATATGGTATCTAACCAGATTCTTACTCTGGATGGCATTACCTTGGCCTCCAGTAACGCTGTGAGGAACCTTGGAGTCATTTTTGACCAAGACATGTCCTTCAACGCACATATTAAACAAATATGTAAGACTGCTTTCTTCCATTTGTGCAACATCTCTAAAGTTAGAAATATCCTGTCTCAGAGTGACGCTGAAAAACTAGTTCATGCATTTATTACTTCCAGGCTGGACTACTGTAATTCATTATTATCAGGATGTCCAAAAAACTCACTGAAAAGCCTTCAGCTAATCCAAAATGCTGCAGCAAGAGTACTGACAGGGACTAGAAAGAGAGAGCATATTTCTCCTGTTTTGGCTTCCCTTCATTGGCTTCCTGTTAAATCCAGAATTGAATTCAAAATCCTGCTCCTCACATACAAGGTCTTAAATAATCAGGCCCCATCTTATCTTAATGACCTGGTAGTACCATATCACCCTATTAGAGCACTTCACTCTCGCACTGCAGGCTTACTTGTTTAGAGTATTTAAAAGTAGAATGGGAGGCAGAGCATCTCTGGAAATAGTCTGTTTTTCCCAGAAATGAATGTAAAAAGCAATTTTATAAGTAAAAAGAACCATTAGTGAAATTAAACATGCAATTCCATCCATCAGCTAAAATAAAACTTGTTTGAGGATTTTTTTAATGAGAGAAGCTGTTGAAAAATCTACTCCTTGGAATTATAGACTGAACTCAATACAGTCTATCACTATTACAATCCACTGTTTCAGTCTTTCAAGTAATTGATAAATTGGCAGACTGTCAAAAATGACAAATAACAGTTTTGCTAATTTCACTTAATCTTAACCTCAAAACTCGGAGCACGTACATCCAGGTGACATGCTTCCTGCCAGATAACGATAAATATCAAAGTGTTCTCTGCATCAAATGTTACACTGCAGTTTAAATTTCAGGGAGAAAACCTGGAAAAAGCACCAAGTTCAGTTTGGTGTGTGCAGAGTGTGAGCTGAGCAAGCTGTTGTGAAGTGCAGGAGGTGATTTCACTGCACACGCTCAGTCCTTCTGCAACGACACACGTCCAGTCCGCCCAATGCTCCAGATAAACTTTGCCTCGTCTGCACATTGTTACAAGTGCCTCACTGGATGCTGAGTTCGTGCTACATACGTGATGCAGCTTTCACCGATGTCCCACTTTCTCAGGGACGGACTCAGCTCGGTGGTTTCTGCTGCTCTGTGACACCTAAATGCTGACAGAGGAAGTGCTTTACATTGTTCTCCGAGACTGTAAAACGAAGCTGGACTTCAAATTAATTACAAGATGGATGACATGGAAAAATCTTTTTTCTGCACTGCTGATGGTAAATGTGAAGATTGTGTATCTGTATTTTGGGGGGTGCACCTCCATGTTGCTGGGAAAATGGGAAACAGCTGCAGCAATTTATTGAAACATACATGGAAATACAGCACATGAGGCAGAAACAGAGTTTGTGCAACTCTAACAAGCTTGACAGTGAGTGATTGGTATAACCATTTTTATAAAAAGTTCTGCAGGCTTCTTGAAGGACATTCAAAGCTTAATGGATGTTTCTGCCTTTTGTTCTGCTCTCTGTCAGGATGATCCCACACTGCTTTGATAAAGTTGAGGTCCGGGCTCTGGGGAGACCCATCCATACTGTTCCACAGTGTGCTTCTATCCAGGTGTTTGGGATCATTGTCCTGCTGAAAAATGCTTCTCTTCATTAAGAATGTCTTCCTGACAGCCGCCCTTCCACTGATCCATTTCTGGTGAGGCTTCAGTGAACAGTTGATGGATCAGCTCTCATGTTCAGGATCTACACCCTCTCAAACATGGCTAAAAAACATACGCGTGAAAGGAGCAAGATGTATGGATGGAGGATGTTTGGTATGACCGGGGGTGAGATGCCTTAAAAGAGCATAGATGGGAAAAATTCTAGGCGATAACTCAAGAGTTGATAACTGGGGACATCCTGATCAGGAAAGTGGTGACACATCTTAAGTGGGAGGAGATTCACTGACTTGACCTCTAACGTCTGTTACCTTCTTAGTAAAGAAGCAAGCAAAGTCATGAGGTAGAGAGATGTCACCAGTGAAGGAGGACAGGGTGGAAAATCATTTCCTAGTGCATGGAGCAGGTGGATTTTGTAATGGAAAAATTCCATTTTTGCTGAAGTTAAGCTGGAGGCAAATGGCTAATAGGAGATTCAATGAGGGCCATAAAATTTCCAGGTTTAAGTTATTTTCTCTCAGAGTCTCTGAGATCTGTCTGCAGCTTGCCTAGATAGCAATGGCTGGGATGGAACAGCCTGAGCAGATATAATGGAAAGAGGAGTGAGATTGCCAGGCCCCAGTTAGAGTGGAATAGAGGGTATCTGAAGCATCATTTATTCTTGGAGGGAAGAATGAGCCTCGGCGCCGGTGGTGTGGAAATGAGCAGGCACGAGGTTACAGAGATTGTGTCAAAAAGAAACCATCAAATTTCTTCTTCAGTGAGGGAAGAAATGATCAAACCCACACCTGACAGTTCTGACACTCTTAACTTCACTGTCTGTGAAAGTGAGTGCTCTCTGCAGCTGCTGGGTCTCAGGTTTGCCATTTGTGCTCTCCCCCACCCAGATCCTGGTGCTGGCGGTCTCCTCCAGTTGAAACAGAGTTTGTCTCTACTGTGGCCGAGTGCTGCGAATGGGGTCTGATCTTTGGGGGTCTCCCTCTTGTTTTGTAGGGTGTTGCTGACTGCAGTTGCAAACTGGTGCCGGTGCATAAATTCTCCCTTTGATAAAGTACGAATGGGACTCTATATTACTTCAGTGCTAGCATGTGCTTGTGTCTGAAGTGCAGCGGGAGATTGCACTACATGCGAATCTGGCCATCCAGTCTCAGAAACTTTGCTTTCATGCCGGAGGAGAAGCAAGCATCAGTCATGACTTCCCCTTGTGCTGCTCTGCCGATGAGTGATGACGATAGAAAAAAGAAAACAGCATTTACAGCACCCACTTTTCCCCCTTCCCCCGGGATGGTTTAATATCCCGAGTCGTGTTGTCGCCTCTGAGATCAAGCTGATCAACCGAGGGTTCATTCTGATGTTGTCAAGTTTAAAAAAATGAAAGCAGCAGAGGAGGCAGAGTGCAGAAGGGCCAATCTCACTCCTCCTCCTGCTGCTGGACATGAAGGTGAAAACTGAGGTTGATAATGGATCAGGCACACTGCTGGAATACTAACAGGCAGAGTAGATTACCATGGCTCCTGCGTTTTTTCATTTGCCCCCGAGCAAACGCAATAAAAGCAAGGAGGAGGCTCCGGCAGGCTAAAAGGTTTGTCAGCTGAAGGAGGCTATAACTCTGAAAGCCTTGAAAAGAATGTCTTGGAGATAAAAAGAGAAAAAAAGTGAGCAAGTAGAGGAAATAAAAACCTCCAACTCTGACGCAATAATAGAATTCTGAAGCAGAGGAGGGAGGTATGTGAAATGCAATAAACAGGAAGTCAGAGCAGGACAGTCACGTTTTATTTCCTATCACAGTTTTATAACTGATTGTTTCAGTACGACATCCCATCCTATAAACACTCTTCTTCATCCCGGTGTGAAACTTTTCTTTATCGCTCTTCTCTAAATTATAAAGTTCCTGATGTGCTCTTCTACCCGTCTTGTCCAGCAGTAGTAGCAAGCAGAAAGATAGTCTGAATGCTTTGTTGTGCCAAACAAATTTGTTCACGTACAGGTGTGATCTATCTGTAGGAGCACTGAGCTCACTATCAGTCCATCCGAGTCCAGGCCACAGTCTAAGCCGAGAGGCTTAGACTTCCTCCTGCTCCACTAGCTGATACTTGGGTGTTCCTAAAGAGCCAAGACATAGTCTGCCCCAAGATCTCCTACTAGTAGGACGGGCCTGAAACAGCCCAGGAAGCATCCTGGAGGCATCCCAGACAGATGTCCAAACCACATTAATGTGCTCCTTTTCTACTCTGAGCCCCTCACAACTGGCTGAGCTCTTTACCCCAACATTTCCTTCACCTGTGAGGTCACTGCTCTCAGTTTCTGTCAGCAGGAGACAGTCAGAAATCTTAACAAAGATGGTGCTGTGAGCCGTTTAATAACCACTCTCTCACAGTTGGAATATAAAACAATCCTCCACTCACCGTATGCTGTAGAGCACGTTGCCATTTTTAGAGATGCGTAGCAGCTTGTTGTCGGTGGTGACCTCATGAAAGTTGGCCCCCTTCTCGTTGGCAAAGAACAAGTCAGGTTTCCAGATGGAGTCCAACATGGAGGGGTCGAGGTCCAGCGAGTCGTCTGGATATTCGCTGTAGGCCAGCCGAGGGTCGTTCCACTGCTGTCTCAAGAAAATGTTCACTCTGTAGTCCTGCAAGGAGACACAGAGGATATGGAAGTGTTAGAGGTATGGGCAAGAAGGCAGAAGGAACATCTACTGAACATCTTCAAACATCTGGCATGGTCTGAAGCTCATTTATTATTGCATGGCACTATAGTTAGTCCTGGTGGAATACACAACGGTCGACATTACTATCACATTCACAGCCTGGCAGTCCTATCTTTTCTCTCATGTTATCCTCATGTTCACTGCTGCATTCTTTGGAGGTCCAAATTCTCCCTGAAGTAGACTAGGCAGGTGGGAAGGAAACTGCTTTGGCAGAGAAAAGGCTTCAGTGGGTGGTAATTTTGGGGAATGATTGGGCAAAACGTTTCAAAAACAATTCTGTGTCTTATAGATGAAGTGGTTTGAGAGGAAACTAGACTGCACCTGGTTTGCATACAAAATCTAGGCAATGAGCGACACTTTGGCCAAGTGTTTTTACACAGCTGAAGTTTCCATTGGACATTTTACAAATGCAGATCTGTGTGCATGTGGCTGCTGGTAGTAGAAAGTGTAATAAATACCAGAAAATACTGCAAGAAAAGGTGTTTTTCCAGCCTTGTAGAGCAACCCAGAAAAGCAAGAAAACTCATTAAAAGGAGAGTCTGATAATGAATATTAAAAAAGCGTCTTCATATGGATGAAGCATATTCATAAAACCGTAGTTACGCAGTTGGTAACAGCTGGAGTTCACACTCGCTGTTCTTGTTCTGTGTGGATAATCTGCTAACTTAATTTTCCTTGAACATGTAAGTGTGTTGTAGTGGTTTGTTACGATGTGTTGGTGTCGTATGTTGACACACGTGCTGAGGGCAGACAGTGGAGAGCAGTAGGAAAGACGCTGTAATGTTATTCTGTTTTTTGGTTTTTTTTGCCTACTTCAGCCTTAAATTAACACGTAACAGCAAAAGCTGTAAAGCACAACTGACACACCTTGAACAGAAGGATGTAAAATATATCCACGGATCCATGGGGAAATGTTGTCTTTATAAAATAAGAAAGAAAATGTGGAAAAGGGAGAAAAAAGGCTCGTCAAGGGTCACCGCACCGCTGACTCACGAAGCTGTAACTCCATATGGAGGACCGGATCGACAGATACAGGCAGACGCAGCAACGGAGTGAAGGACAGAGCTGAGCAGGTGGTTATGGGTCTTTATCCATATGTCATTTCCTCCTTTATGTGAATGTAGGAGATTTTACTGATGGTGGTGACTTGTAGCCTTGAGCTACAGCACAGATCTGTTTCCTGTCTGTGAACCTGTGTGATCTCTCAGATCCTGCTCAGCCTCAGGGTATTCAAACTACTCGGCTTTGTGCTTTTGTTTTCACAATCTCTATTTGTATTTCTGCACTTGTTCTTGGGGTTGTGTGTTGCCAGAAATCATAGCTAGATGGATGTGGAGCGAGACGATGAAGAACACAGATGGAAATGTTGTGCTTAATGGCCAATAGAAACAAGAGAATATTTTTTTTATTACATTTGATTAAAAGACAAAAAAGTGTTATTCATGACACATGAGTACACATCCTGGCCACAAAGGACAATCAGGAGGAAGTTAAGTTTTGTTAGTGTATATAGCCTCCTACAATTCTCATCTTAAATGTTCTTCCTCACCAAATATGGGCAATATTTTAAACAAGGAGCTCTGCATTCAGGCGGCTCTGAATGTACACTTTCAGTTTTTCTTCTGATTGGCTCTGTCAGCACACAGTGCTCATAAGTGCTGCTGATTATGGCTCATCTGGATCACATATTGGAATGTTCATTTTTGGTTTCAATAGGTTTTATCCAGCTGCAGTCTGAATCGATGGATGTCAGATCAAAAACAGAGCACAGAAATTAACCTCCACCGTCTCTCGCACAGTCAGACCTGACTGAACATGACAGTCCGTCTGCCCTAGACTCAAAAGGCTTTTTACTTCATTTCACCTCAAAATTAAAACGCGGTGTGGGAAACGTGGTTGCAGTATGACAACACGGACAACTGATTTAGGTTTAGGTATAAAAATAATTTGACTGAGATCACATAAAGACCATGGTTTGGTTGAAGGTTAGGGATGGGTGGAGAGTCTCCAGTAGATGCTGTCTGAATCTCTGTAATTAGTGGCTGTACTAAAGTAAATCATTGAGCATTTAAAGGATCATCTGATTTTTTCTGTCCCTCAGATCGTTCCCTTCTTCTATGCGTTAGAGTAGAACTAGCCTTTACACTGGTTTCCCTGTATTTTATCACCTGTATCGACACATTTCTGCCTCTGTCCCGTGTCTCCCCCCTTCTCACACTGCTCTGTAAATTCTCTGCATGTGCAGTGCAATCGATCCAGGTAGAAGATATGAACCGCTGCTCCCGCAGAGCTTTGTTGTATAACCCCTCCACCACCCATTCTCCATTTCCTGCTTCACAATCAGAGATGGAGTCTCTGTATTGAGTGTGGGATGGCATTTAGCTTGCCCCTCCATCTCCCTAATTGTCAATTATTCTCAGAACATGGAGCCTGGCCACTCCGGCCAGGCTGGAGCCATCATTAAGCGGCGTGGCGTAGCAGAAAAGCATTGCAGGGACGAGGTACGGCGTGCCAGCAGCCCCGGCAGGTGGCATTTAAAGGAGCAATGAGCCACAGTGCCGTACATGTGTGTATGTGTGTGAAATGCAGTCACATGGCAATCAGCCCCAGTGAGCCCCAGTCGCCGTTTATCACTGTTTATTACACTGAATATCTCACATGAAACAAATGAGCCTGACCTTTCAAACGAGTCGCCTTTTCTTCTGCTTGAGAATATGATGAATATCCTGAAATGAAGCCGAGATGAGGAGCGTCTGTTGATGCAGAGAGCCAACGAGGAAATACAGAGGAGCAGAGCGAGTGTATGCCAGGACCATCAGTCATTGACGGGCCTATGGTTTGATATCAGCTTGGAAAGGGCAAAAGCTGGGCAGACAGGAACCTGATGAAGTTTCTCAAAACAAAGATAACTAGAAGGGCACTCAGAGATCACAGGACTCCACTAGAACCAGTGCCCCATTGTGCAGTTCTACACCACAATCAAATGGGTAAAAACACCCAAACCTGGCAGACATAATCAACATTCAGTCATCATGCACATGTCAGGTCAGTCGGCTTCTCTGCAGTCAAAAGAAGATTACTGTATCCATCTGCAGTAATGTATATCCAGTGGTATGGCGTTCTATGAGCAGAGTAGAAGTCAACACATTAATGAAATGTTGGAGTAAAGGGGGGTTGCAAAGCTGCTTGACGATTTGCAGCAACTGTAGCTGCAGTAGGTCGGAAAATGCTACATGGTCAAATTCAATGGAAACAAATGCCCTCTCAATGTTTTGGTTTACCACTGTGAATTAGTCTTACACTGTTTATTTATATTCATTTGCCTTTGTTGCTAACTTTATTATGTAAGTGTTGAGTGAATTGCAGCTCAGGGTCATCTCAGTGAATCCACAGTCTTTGTAGCATTGGTCACACTCCTCTCCCTGCTATGTCCCGCCACTGGTGGTCCTGATTTCTCCTCAGTTCTGTGTCCCGCTAACACGCCACACTCAAACGGTGTTAATATTGTATGCTACATGAGGTTATTGAACTGTGCTAACACTCACCTTTTTTTAAAAAAAAATAAACTCGAAATAAAAAAGTCTCACACTCAGGGTCATTGTACTGATCGTCTGTGTTCAACTGTTTATGAGCTTTGTGAATCTTTGTGAATTATTTTGTGAATAATTGAATTGAATTGAATCTGTACCCAGTCTGTACCCAGGGGGTGATATACCCTCTATTTACAGACTTCTGAAGATCCACAAAGAAAGAGTCCCATTAGCAGCATAAACTCAGCCACCTACAACATTTCCAAGTCCCTCGCCACCATCCTCGCGCCCCCTGCGGGGAACACACCCCATCACATTAAAAACTCCTCTGACTTCACCAACAATTTCCAGAAACTTACTCTGGATCCAGGTGAAACCATAGTGTCCATTGATGTGGTTTCTCTCTTCACTGGCATACAACTTAGGCAGTGTAGACTGCAGAACCAGCTTCACTCCGATCAGACCTGCACACTGTTAAACCTCGGCCTCACCACCACATATTTTAAACACAACGAGGGTTTCTACAGACAAAAACGTGGATGTGCTATGGGCTCCCGGTGTCACCTATTATAGCCAACCTTTACATGGAGGAAGTGGAAAGAAAGGCTCTGGGCTCGTTTAAAGAGACACCACCTAACCACTGGTACAGATACGTGGATGACACCTGGGTCAAAATCCAAACCCAAGAAGTAGAAGCCTTCACTGCTCACATCAACTCAGTGGATTGAAACATCCAAGTTAATCAGGGAAGACACAAAGAATAACAGTTTGCTGTTTCTGGACTGTGCTGTGTGCATGGAGGAGGATGGAAACCTCAACACTAAAGTTGACCTGAAGCCCACACACACAGACCAATTTCTTCTCTTTGACTCCCACCACCCTGTGGAACACATACTTGGAGTAATCAGGACTCTACAACACCAGGCAGAAAATGTTCCCTCTAAGCCTGAAGGGAAAAAGAGGGAACACACACTAGTAAAGGAAGCTCTTAAAACATATGGTTATCATCAAATCAGCAAAGGCACACAGGAAAAAGGTCAGAAACCAACTATGGAGAAACAGAATCACAAACAGAACAACACTGTCATCCCTGTCATCAGAGAAACTGAGGGTGGGGCTCACAACACCAACTGTCTGAGAACCTCCCCAGGCACCCACTCACATCTTGATCTCAGTAAGTCACATGATGGGATGAGGTAAGGTCTCACAATGGTTTTACCTGAAACCTCTGCTGATAATGACCCACACCTTTTTCACACCTTGGCTCATGTGATGGTGCAGATGATCAATAGTGGGCCAACGACCCTCTTAAGGGACACTCCCACTAGGGTTAAATACCTGAGCTTAAAACGCTTCTCGGATGAAACGTCTTCAAGAAACTTAAAGAAGTCC